ACATTAGAGAGAAGTTTCTGCAGAGGTGTCAGGCTCCGCTCACTGAGCCAGGGCCAGGGAAAGTCACTGAAAAGTAGGTTCAAGGTGAGAATAAGCACATCTAACTGTCCAAGCTGCCTAGAGATGTAAAGTGCTGTCTCCGCCCACTCCAATCCCTTGCAAAGGAGCACTAACAAGCTGACCAGGAAGACTCTGAAAATGCAAAGGAGTTTCCAAGATCCATCCAGTCATGAAAAGGACCAAAGCCCTTTCCCCTGGGAATTTGCAACATCCTGAAATTTACCCATTCAATGCATCTCTTGAGCACTTGCTCAGCTCCAGCCTGGGCCCTGGGGCACAGAATGAAAGAGACAGGAAGTGTCCTTGCATCTTGCCATGTACATTCCCCTTGGGACTCCAAAGATCAAGAAACAGGGATGACAGAAAGGAGAGTCATGGGCTAGGGAGTGAGTTGGGAAGAAGGGAGACGACACTAGGCCTCGAACCTGGGTGAAAAGGCGCTGTGCGCAGAGTCCAGGGCAAGAGAATGCAGGCAGCAGGAAGGCCCTGCAAAGGCTGGGAGCAACTTAGAGGAGGAGCAAGGAGCATGGGACATTGAGGCATTGGGGCTGGGAGGGAACAGAAAGCCAGGGGTCCCCGGGGCAGGGTTCACAGGGGAGCACCATGATCTGACTCTGGCTGTGGGTCTCCTTCTGGCAGACTTATACAGAGTGCTGCACAGGGCAGGCACAGACACATGAAGCCTGAAGAGGAAGCCAGCGAGCACGTTGGTGGACAGGATAAGGATGTGGGTGGGGACGGAGTGGGGAGGGGCTGAGGCACGAAGAAATCTGGGCTCTAGGTAGCCAGAGCTACACTGTGAGCAGGTGTCAGGAGTAACTCAGGGTGATGGTGGGGCCACCTCGCACAAGGAGAGAACTAGGGGAAGGGGTGTCCCTGGTCGCGCCTTCTTGATCACACATGTCTGCCCAGGACTCTGGGACCCAGTCCCTTCCAGTAATTTAGCCCAGTGAAGAAACCAAGGGGCCAGGCGACAGTGTCCACAGTTAACTAGGACTGGGACTCTTGGTGCCCTGTGGGCTGTGTTGCCCCAGACCAGTGGTTCCCCCAGTCCAGGGTCCCCTACCCCAGGTGGCCAGCAATTGGCCCAGGCTGTGCTGCAGACAGCAGTACAGAATTTTTCTGGCTCCCCGGAGCTCTGCTAGGAGTCGGAAGCACAGGCAGTGCTCTGCCCCTGGACAAGTGAATGAGGAGGGCACATCCGGGGCATGCCCCCACAACCCTCCCCTTTCTCAGTCAAAGGAGGTGGTGCCCCCTTTTCAGGACATCCTTCAGAGCCCCAACTCCACCAGAGAGGTCAGCGGCATTCGGTTAGCTGGAGAAGGCGAGGAGGAGCCCAGTGAAGTCTAGAGTCAGATAGACAAGAGTTCAGATCCCAGCTCTGCCATGCCACGATTAGGGTTAGGGTGACCCTGAGAAAGCTGTATATGTAGTTATTTCTTTGAGAGTCAGTTTCCTCATCCACCCAGTGGGACAGTAATTACCTGTCTCATAAGGTGATTATGGATACTAAACTGAACCCAACCCCCTCACTTACTCCAGCTTTCCCTGCAGGTCTCAGTTGCCGCCTCTCAGTGGCTTTTCCTGGACTCTGGGCTGGGGGAGTACCTGCTAGGTCATCCCACCACAGAGCTGATCACAGTGTTATAAAAGAAAGATTGGGCCAGCCAGGTAGTATGGAGGTTAAGGCAGCTGGATCCCACCTGGCTGACTGGGTGGTTTGAGTACCAGACCCAGTGGCTTGGAAACACTCCAGGCATGTGTGCGTGCATGCCCAAAATCCCCAAAGGAGAATGGAAGACAAGCCATTGCGGTGTGGCCGCCTCTCGGGTGGTGCTTTCTTACTTTCTCTCTTTCCAGCAAGCTCATGTGCCCTATAGTAGATTATACGTGCATGCATACATACATACATACATACATATGGGACAGGTCACAGATGTATCTCCTTTGACTGTCGTGTTTACCATCACACCTCCTGGGCCTGGCATGGG